TAATACAGACAGAGAATTGTATAAAAAGTTCCCTAAACAGGAAATAATCTGCTCAGAATTCATCCAAATCTCCAAATATGTAGCTGTGTCCTTTTATCAGAGACACAAACTATTGCCTCTCCAGAAAGGAAATGGGTATTAAAGGTGTTTCAAAGAAAATAAACCAATACACAAAATCGAGGATGCAGGCAGCTTTTGTACAGGTGGCACTAAGATCTGTCCTGATGCAACACAGAGGAAACTGGTTCTTTAATATTCACTTGAACAAGGTTTCAGCTTCAGAAAGCTTCAAATTATTTCAGGGAGTTTCTGGCTGACAGTATCTGATCGAGGTCTGCACTAAGCTGAGGAAGGACCAGAATGACCCGGGCGCGAAGTTCCCCGCCTCTCTTATGAACTAAAGAACGGGCGTCGCCACAAACTGATTGGCCGAGAGGAGAAACGCACCAAGCTGCTCTCAATCACTGACCGGCGCTCGCAGCCTCCGCAAACAGGTGATCTGAATGATCCTCCAATCAACTCAGAGGAAGTCTGACATTCAGATCAAACAAACTGGAAAAACAGTTCAGTAAGTTCTCAACTTTATTCCATCAAAATGAGTGAAAAAGAGGCTAAAATAACGTCTGTGTTTATAGAAGCAACAAGCAGACAATGGCTCCTTTCATAACGCTGTGACAGCTCATTTAAAATCCCACATTAAAGCACAGAGATAAAACATCTGAACTCCTGTCCGTCTGTATCACGTCCAGACGTCCTCGTATCATCAGAATGTGTTTCTGCACCCTCGCAGCTGGCCTATGTTTATTTATAACCAATAAATAATTGATGCAAAAGCTGCTGCTATTAACCAAAAATACACACTTCCAAAATTTAACCCAGCCTCTGAGGGGAATGTTGACCACGAACGTGAGCCAACTCCTCGAGTTCCTGACATGCATCTGTGAAAAACAGTTTTTATGGGTTTTTTCTCTCGCACCTCTGTCAGGATAAACTTTACATTTCAGCTCCACAAACGTAACAGGATCAAACTGCAGTCTTTTTTTTTCTTACATTGTGAAATAATGACGTTCATCCAGCAGTTACCTGCTCATTGGGGCCCTTTTTGTCTCCGTTGACGGCCTTTAGGAGGACGGCTTCCTCATTCTTTGTGTTGGTCTTCATCTCCACGACAATGTCATCTTTGGTGGTCTTCTCTTTGGTACTGACGACAGAAACAAGAGTCGGCACGAGGAGAACAAATAACAGGGAGTTGGTAGTAGGGCATACGTTGGTGTTTTTGCTCAGTATCTGGAAATGATTCATAGCCCATACATCTGTACAACCTGAGCTTAAAGGTCATATAAGTCAATAAACCATAATAATCAATAAAAATGTATTGAGTTTATAAATTTCATAAATAAAAAAAATACATTAGATTGCGACTTCATCTAAGAGGTACATCCCTAACTTCTTTAAAGGATAATATATTCTTTATTTTTATGTATGTTACTGTATTTTAAGTATCAATAAATCCCATGAAAAAGCAACCAAAACTGTGCTACTTAAATCTTAAAAGACGTACTCCTCCATAAAATGATGCTTTTTGAGCTGTAAACTGAATTATATGACGACACTATGATGAAACACATCAGTGCTGCTGTTAAAATTTAACATTTTTACCAAAGTTATGAGTTTTAGTGGGTTGGAAATGTCTTAACGTGCCCTCTACTGTTTAAAATAACCCAAAAAATTAGTTAATGCCCTCTAATGACAGGAGGGCGGCCCACCTGTCCCAGCCAGAGTGGAAGTCTGGGAAACTGCTGCACTCATTTTAAAGTTTATGGAGATTATGTTAGTTTTTGCTAACCATCTACTTGGTATTTTTATATTCAGATACAGACCGCTTTAGAAACACCAGCAGAGAGAGTTAGCCTCTCTGAGCCGCTAGCTCAGCTACAACACACAGAAACTTTTACAAACGACATGAATGTGCTTCTAGTGACTAAAAGCTAAACGCTCCAGCTGACAGCAGCTGCTCATTAGCTCTGTTAGCTCTGACTACCAGTTTGCTGTTTCTGCTACGCCGCTGTGGTCAGTCTGTCAATCACTGCGGTCAGTGTTGTTGTGTTGTTCTGTGGGCAGATATCGAAGAAACGGTACTCACATCTCCTGTTTCCCTGAGCGTCCACAGGGGATCTTCCCCTTCTTATGCAGGAAGTAGAGAACACTGCCGAGGATGGCGAGCAGCAGCAGACACAGTATGATCACCACTATGATCACCCCGCTGCCCTCAGCTACACACACACACAGACAGAGACCAATCACATGTTAGTGTTGAACGTACAGCGTTGGCGTTCAGTGTGTGGGGGCCATATTGGCTCCACTGCACTGTTAGCTCAGACTGAAGATTCACGTCAAGACGAGATTAAACTAACTACTACTTGCAAAATGCCGTCTGCAACCTTCTGAAAACCTTCCAGTTAAAATCCTGGACGTATATAAAAACAGATGGATGACATAACAGCTCTTTAAGAGCGAAGCCAAAACATCTCTATCGCCCCCTGGTGGCTGACTGCAGTATATCTCATAAAGCAAACTAAATAAAATGTTTCCCAAAGATTGTTTCTGCCATTTGAAGTAGTTCTGATTTGTTTCTTATTCGACATTTGAAGCTATAAAAAGAAGGTTTATGAGTTTTAGAAGATACAGATTCAAACCAGAAAGTCTACATTACAAACTGGGGGTGTGAAGTTTGAAAGACCTAGAGGTCCAACAAGAAGATGCTATCAGTTGCATTACGGGAAGTGTAGTGTATCCAGTGTTTTTGGATCCCTTCTGCTTCAACTGCTTCTAATCTGTCTCCTGCAAGTTCTCCAACTTTATTTAAATGAACAAATACGTACAGACTGCATTATTTAAACTCTTTTAAGTGGCTTATTTAACAAAGTCCCTTTCCTCATGCATAATAATAAATAATAATTGGCTGAGCGTGAAATGATGTCCTTTATATTTCAGTGTCATTAAAGTTGGAGGACTGCAGGAAAATGTCATTTACTTTGTGCAGCATCTGTGACTCTTAATAACAGACTTTATTTACATTAAATTATCCATCCTGAATGAAAAGAGCTTTTTTTCTTTCTTGGCTGGACTTTAACGTTACAGTTTGTTGATTCAGTTTATTTTAAGAGGCAAGCAGGGAAACAATATTAACAGTATTTTCACTAAATTCATCATTTCGAGAATATTTAATATTCTTATAATGACTGAGTGTATCTGGTTTAGTTCAATTTGAACTCTTTTTAATTCTAATTTCACTAAAATATTTCAAAAATCTTCCTGTAGGAACTCGTGAGATTTTTTATGGTTCATATCTAGCAAATATCAACTTTATTTTATTATTAAATCCACTGTATTGTACAGTCACAGTCATATTTATGCAGTTTTTCTCATGTTGATGCACGTTAAAGTGATTTTTTTTGTTTTTGTTTGGTTTTAATTAGTTATTTAAGTTATAAAAAGGAGGTTCAATGTCATGATGAGTCAACCAGGTGTACGGGCAGGACTTTGATATCCAAGTGCGACTTACATCTTTTGTATGACATAAAATTACTATTTTTGGGGGATTTTCTTTGCTTCTCCTGCATTGAATTATCCAGATCAGCCTTTTGAATAATGCTGAACCCACAAAAAAATGGAGAAAACAAACTGAGACGCCATCGTTCATTTTACAGCTCCGAGTGTCATAAAACTGTGATGTAATTCATTTTTAAAGAACATCTTCCACTCTCTTTTTTTTTGTTGAGTGTGTGCAGAAAGCTTCTACTTCGAGTGTTTAATAACCTCAGTAAACAATTAGGACGGCGACCAAATATTTACTTCTTGGGAGCCGCTCTCGCTCGACGCTGGATGATTTTTGACATAGTTTCTTTTTTGTTATGGTTGTTTTTTAATGGTTGTGGGTGCTCTTTATGTGCCCGCTGTACTCCCCACAGGCTAGTGAAGATTTTAATGGTACGAAGTGACTGCTCAGATAAAATTGCCCCATGATAATTTCACCAGGTATGTAAAAGCCACTATAAAACACAAGACTGTCTGGAAACGGCAGTAAAACGCAATTTTCTTCCTTATTTATGTTTGTTTAAAAAATTCTGGGATGTACAAATAATGTTTTTACCGCTGCAGCATTTGGTCCGAGTATCACTGTAACTGTTGGCGTGCTTGAATTTGCTGCTGTTATGATTTTTCTCTCAGTATCAAACAGAATATTTAATGTGCCCTCAGGCCATCCCAAAGATCTGCCAGCGAACTAAAGACAGTACTGGTATAGAAAATCATAAATAATGTATATAATCCTCCAACCATTCGTTGTCACAGACAGGAACTAAAGCGTGAAGAGACAGAGAAGAGAGTTTTGAGGGAAAGAGGCGCCTTTAATAAAAAAAATACAGAGGGCGACGATCTTACCAGGAGAGAAGGGAGCAGTTGAGGTGACCATGGGAACTGTGAACAAGTAAAACAACACTTAGAGCGAGCCCCCGACACACACACACACACTTCACATAATACATTTAATTCCTGTGGAGGTGTGAGAGTAACAGAGCTGACTGTATGTGTTTACAATACTGGCTTCATTTAGCAGCAGTTTCCAACCTGGAACTGGAAATCAGTGACGTCACCCATCGGTTTGTGGAGAACCGTTTTGAATTCTCGACAGTTTTGGGGGTGACGTATTGCGAGTTGAGCTGCTCTCAGTTTCGACTAGAAAGAAACAATGGCGGCTAGCACACAGGATCTGGTATTCCAGATAAACAGTAGAATGTGTTTGTGAACAGATTTGAGTAGGAATGTGTTTTGTGAAACAGGATTTGAGAAAGAAATAGTAACAACAGAATCTGGATCCATATCTGATCAGCACTGTTTGACAGTTTGACTCTGAGTTTGTGCGCAATCACAAGTAGGCCCGCCTAACAGCAACCTGCTTATGGTCTATTTTACTCCTAATGGGACCCAACTCAGTAATACAACTGACCATCTGCTGTACGGAAGAAGACTGAAACTAAAGACTGAGACAGAAACCATCAGGAAACTGTTTACTGAGCCATAAGGAAGTGAGATAGGTGAGTCATTTCTCCATAGAGCCTAGCGATGGGTATCTGTGTGTTATTGCAACCAATGGAGCTGCCCCCTGCTGGCCGTTAGAAACAATGCAGGTTTAAGACGCCCCCAACCCTAACGGTTGAAAAACTAAAATTAGGAATATTAAGCAAAACACTTCAGACATCTTGTGAGCAAACGGGAATAAATGAGCACGCCAACTTAAAGTCTGTTCATTCTGTGCTTCAGAATATATAAAATAGGATATTAACTGTGAGAAGCGAGGGCCAGCAACCCTCACACTCATGATTTGCATTCATTAAAGGCTTCAAAAGCAAACTAAGTTTTGAACTCCCTCACTGGGCGAGCAGAGAAAAACTCTTCCTCCTTCACATCGACTCACTGCAGCTCCATCAAGGAACCAGAAGCCAATATTGTGTGAGCTCTGAGGCACTTTCTGTGACAGTCCTGTCGCGTTGGAGTAAAGATTGGGATTAAAGGGACTAAATGATGAAAAAAATAATAATCCCCCCCCTCTGGTGAGTGCCTTTTAATTGTCCAGACTAGCTCTGTGTAAATGCAAGAGTTAGCACATATTTCATAAGATTAAAAAGAATGGCTAATGACAGTTTCAGAGCCTGACTCCCTCTCTGAACATACAGCCTGATTCACTCAGGCTGTATACAGATGTTCCAGTGTAAGTGGGAGAGAGAGGGAGAGAGAGGGAGAGAGAGACTCTTACTGGCTTTGATGCTGAAAGCCTTCACTTCGGTGCCCATGTCATTGGAGGCGTTGCACAGTGCGCTGATGTCCGAGGTGACTTTCACCGACACCACGCTGTGAGCGATGTGCCTGTTCGCCTGGTTCACCACCTCGTGCCAGTTCTGTGGAGACAAACACAGCTGGTTGATGAGAAGAGCCGTGCACACTTTATTATATTTATATATATATGAGATTTAACACATTAATATAGCAGCAAACAGCTATTCTCTATGTAAAGATATAGTGGAGTTGTGGTGTCTCACTCCCTCTGCCTGTGTTGCTATCGTTTTATCATCTACGTCGGTGAATTAGGGTTTATTTCCACCAAACCAGAGTTGGTGATTGTTGGAAAGACTAACAAAGACGGCTTTAGTGAGTTTTATTTAGTTTCTGTTCACTTTGAATGTTGTTAAGATGATCTGAAGGTAAAATGAGTGTTTTTGTCTGTGGAGTCTGTGGGAGTATAGTGATATTAGGCGTTTTGTGGTTTAAGATAAACGGTCTATCTCTGTCAGGGAGTCGTTTCCATAATGTGTCAGACAGCTGACCATAACCAACCGCGCGAGTCCGGTTCAAGGGCAAACATTAAGGTATTTTAATGGACATACAAATTGGACGTTTGTCCCCAAGGATTAGCTAACGTTACATTGCAGCCGTTGCAGCTTGTGTCACATATATTTTCTAATATAACTCAGTAAGTTAAGGCTTTATTTTGACCAAACTGGAGTTGCTGATTGTTGAAAAGACTAACAACAATATTTTGGTGAGTTTTATAATCTGCTCTGTCAAATGACTGTCTGGTGGGCTGCAGCCTGTACCGTCCATTGTTTCAGTCTAAGATGCTGGTGCGCCACAAACACCATAATCTCAGATGTAGGTGAAAGTAAACCAGCTGCCATTACTGCAGTGCGGTGGTATCTCACTTGTCAACCTGCACAATAACACAGTAATACACAGTAATGTATGTGAAGGATTTTACTTTTTAACCGCTTTTGTTAAGAAATAAATCCAGGAGTTTTTGTTGAAACGATTCCTGGCTGAAGCTCTACTTGAATTGTTTTTACTGTTTCAAATGTTTGACAGAATGATGTGTTTTCCGTGAATACGATACAAAGATGATGCGTGTTCGTTCATTTATAATAACCCTCAGGAGTCCAGGTTAATTTTGCTTATAAGTATAAAGCTGCCAGGAACCCAAATTACAAGAAAAATTAACCTATAAAAACTGCTCTTTAGTGATAATCACCCAAAATTATGATATAATAGAGCAATTAAATGTAAGAAATAAAACTTAAATTGTCCTGTATCATTGTCTTTTGTCTTGAAATAATAAAAAAATAAAGAAAACAATAGCTACAATCAACCCATTCAACTTTTACTACAAACCAAACCAGCGTCTACAGTACATGAACACAAACATCCACCACGGTGCAGCGAGCTGATACCTGGCTGCCGATGATGTTCCAGTTGATGACGGGCAGCGGTTGGCCCTGAGCCTCGCAGCTCAGGTTCACCATCCTGCCTGCTGCCTCCTCCAGCTGCACCTCCTGCTCCTCGCCCACCAGCTGGGCACCACCTACACACACACACACACACACACACAAATGATCAAATTACTGTAAGTAATATATGTAAGTGTGAGAGGACGAAGATGGGAAACTTGTCTACATTACACCTTAGAGCATAGTTTGTATTTTATCTTGTATTTTGTGACCAGTATGTTTATTTATTTTGTCCTTTAGTTCCAGATGTTTCACATTAAAAGCCTCCCAGAGGACAATCCTCCTCTTTCTTTTGTAGTTTTTTTGTTAAATCAATCTAAAATAAAAATTATAATAGCTAAAGCGTTCAGTCTTAATGCTTCTGTCTTTAACATCGTCACATTATGCGCTCTCAAATTCAAAACTTCTTTCAATTATTAGGGTTTATTGACTTATATAAGCTTTTAGCTTTGGTTGTCAGCTAAAAGATACTCCAAGAAATGATGTCAAAATAAGCAAAAATACCAATGTAGCAGAGTTGAAAGACTTTAAAGGGGAAAAAGCAGCACAATCGTGATGCAATTCTTTATTTCAACGTCTAAAGATCGATGTTTCTGCGCCTTCAGTGTGATGGAATTCAAACTACAACTGACTGACGCTCACTAGAGTCACCATTCATAACCTAAAAAAGGCCAGACATCTGCGAACCAGTAAGAACAAACCAGTGAAGTGGAGCCACTGCAGTGCGAGGACGATGACTGACCTTGGACGATGATGTGAACGGAGCCGCTGGTGTGAAGGGCCGGCAGGGAGGGAACGGTCACCTCACATGCGTACTCTCCTGTTGTTGCATAGGTGGCGTCCCTCAGGTGCAACGTGTTCCCCGAACCCACCTGCTGCCCATCCTACGCACGCACACACACACACACACACAGACAATAAGCACATAGGCATATAATCAGAAAACAGGGGCTGAAGGCAGCTGAGATACTGTATCAGTTAGTGGTTTGGCTCTAAGGACTGGATGGATTCCCATGGATCTTTGTGCAGGTATTAGTGTAAAGAGAGGATGAATTGTTTTAACTTTGATGATCTTAATGATGAGTTATAAATCCACCCCATTTTGCGATTTCACATGAGTTGAAAATATTGAACTTTGAGTAAAAGATGTGAGCCAGGTTTTTGCAGTGTTGTGTGTGTGAGGGAGCAGAGAGACAGAGCTGCTGCTGGCCCACAGACAGCTGCTTGAACCCGGGGAGCTCTGCAGGAGAGAGTCACAGTCACACCAGATTCTGCTCTGACCTGGGGACGTTTACAGAGTTTATTTTTTTACTTTAACTTTTTGGGATTAAAAAGTGGATTTTATCTGTCTTCTCAACCTGTCTGCTTAGAGCTACGGAGCTGCCACCCCAACTTCTAGCTGTCTGTGTGCACCCAGAGCTCTATGATACTACTTCATATGTGTACAGAGACCGGACAGCAATGAGGAAGTTGGACTACCTGGTAAGAGCTGAAAATGTCTGTGTCTGTTACTTGATAACTAAGTTAGCATAGCCCTGATTGATCCAAACTCCATTCAGAAAACAAACATTTTTACAGTTGCTTGCGCACCGTCTTGCAGACAGACCCGACAAAAGACTTTTTACAAACTGGCATCATGATGTCGTTATTTCGGCACCCTTTTTATCCGTTTATTGACATTAAATCACAGCAAAATCTTTATAAAGGGCAAAATATTTGCTTTGTTTGGTGGGAACACACCATTTGTCTTGTTTCAAACTAAATGAGAAATTCTGCAGCTGTTATTGCCGTTACATATCCCCTGCATACATTGCTCACTGTAATGTTAACTCTAATATATTCATATTGTGAGTGCTTGAATGGCTGTATTGATTCTGATGCCAAGGCACAGTACAGAAATGAGTTTCAGCTTGTTGCTTTTTTCTGAACAACATAATCTAATCTATAATCTGTACCACTACCGTGTACGTACCTTGTACCAGACGGTGGAGGTTTTCAGGGAGGACAGAGCGTTGCAGGTCGCAATCAGATCTTCTCCTTTGAGCATGACTTCTGAGTCTTTGGGTACCACGACCGCTGGGTCCAAGTCTGAACAAAACAAACGAACAACAAACAAGACACAGGAAACACACGGTTGGGTGGATTGAATTCATGTTGTCTCTAATGTCTGTTTCAGATATATACGTTGTACATGAGTGTGTATGTGCGTTCCTCACAGTGCACGGTGAGCTGCATTTCTCCTTTGACGTCGGCGTACTCATCGGCATCCAGAGGGCGACACTGGTAGATGCCGCTGTCTTTCCGCGACACTGGTGAGAGGAACAACACATCGCCACGGCCCTCCAAGTCCTCATCCGGGTCCTGCAACAAAACACTCTCACTTACTGAATCCATGTCGTGATCGTGTGAAAGTAATGACAGAAACTAGATGTTAGACGTGCAACAAAAATTTTAATTAGTCCTGCGAGGGGGGCAGCTGCAGACTTTAGATGAATTCCTTTAGTTTATTATAGAGTGTGTTGGAAGAAAACATGTGATTAATAAAACAAGCCCACTGGTGCATCATGTAATCTTTGGAGTCCTCTCTGGCAGCCAAAGCAGGATATTTATCCCGTTTGATCTCTCTCAGTTCTCACTTTCAACTTTCCTCATAAAAATGATGACATCTGACATTTATTATCGGAGGTGGATGCAGGTTCTGAATATTTCACCGACCAGTTTTCACTCCTGAGCTCTTTGGCTACAAATAAGAGCCACAATTTACACTGGAGTCCATTAGGGTGAGAAACACGAGTGGTTGAGACGCAGGCAGAATTTAAACACATCCAAATGTTTAACCGCAATATCCAAAACCCACTTTCTCGAAAGTAACAACATTTTTCTTTGATTTTCATGTCAGTCGGTTCATCCATTTCACTGTCTCTGGGTCCAGAGTGAAGGATCTTGGCAGCTACTGAAGAGATTGCTATGAAACTGGCTGCAGTCATGAATCATCTGCAGAGGATGAATTATAGTACCGACTTAAGAGTAGAGACAGACCTTGTGTCTGGTTAAAGCTATAATATGTAACAGTTCTACATTAAAATGTCTAAAAACAATAGAGCTATTTTATAGCATACATTGAGTTTTTATCCAGTCTGAAGCATCATTTCTACCATCCACTGTTTAGATCTCGGTGCTTTTTTAACTCTAGATTTGAACGATGTAAGGTGATTTTAGTCATCGACGTCTGGATCTTTAGTTTATCAGAGAAACAAGCTGAGCTTAACGTTAGCAGCAGCTCGGCTCGCAGTGTGGAGAACCAGTGATTTTAAGGTGGAATCTTAATTCTCGTCCTTTTGTGTCTTGTTTCGCTTCACTTTCTGTCTTTCTCTCAGTTCTGATTGTCTGTCCCCCCTTGATTATGTTCACCTGTCCCTCGTTATCCTTCTCCTCCTGTATTTAGTCTTTGTGCTCAATTCACATTAAAATCACTGAGCTCATCTTGCTGCCTGCTGCTGTCCTTTGTGTTTGGGTCCAATCCTGAGTTTGCACTGTGACTGAGACCTCTGTGGATAATCCACATCCCAGTAGAAACCTCCTGAAGGAATCCTAACCGAGAGCAGTTGACTCAACAACTCCCATGATCCCATGCTGCTTCACCATCTCATCAAACTTCATCTTTTGTTATTGTTTTGATGTGAGAGACCCCCTAGTGGCGGACATATTGTACCTTTAAAGCAGTGTTTAGTGGATTCTAGGGAATGCGATATGACCAAATATATTGTGTGACGACAGGAAAACTGTATTTATTTTATTGCGTCACAAATTATACTCTTACAGCAATATTTTTTGTCATTTGGTTCGTTTTTCGGCACGGCAGAGATGCAGGCTTGTATGAAGTCAACACAAACAAACATGGAGGTGAGTCAATGTGACACTTTGTTAGTTTACCGTTTAACAATGCTGAATACTTATAAACATTCCTTGCATCACTGCTGTATTT